GCAGGCGCGACAGGAGAGGTCTGCCGCGCCATGTGGGAATCTCCCTGGCCTGCCGGGAATCGAACCCACACTGCAGAGGCTGCAGACAGCTTCACAGCACTGCACTCAATCTGCTGCGCCACCAGGGAGGCCCAAGACTTTGGCTCTTAATGAAAGTGAGATGGGAAGCCAAAATAGCAGTGGGATGACCTAACTTATTTTATTTTTTTAATTTGTTTTTTAAAAAGTTTTATTTATTTATGCATACAAGAACTGGGGTAAAGGCCAGAGGTGGCGGGGAGTGGGGGTGAGAGGGTTCACCAGAGACAGAGTGAAGAACAGAACAGGCGGATCTACTGAAGTACACTGCTGAGGGGAGCAGCGGGCGAGACAGGAGTGGTCTGCTGAGCCATGTAGGTAGCTCCCTGGCCAGCCCGGGATTGAACTTGTGCTGCAGAGGCTGCAGATAGCTTCACAGTGCTGTGCTTAACCCCTTGGGCCACCAGGGAGGGATCTAACTTATTTTAAAAGATTATTGTGTCCTCTTGTGTGCCAGTTCTTTCAGTATCCCATGAACATTCTCGAAGTGTTTTGTCCTCTCAAAAATGCTTTGCCCCATTGGATACTGTTGGAGATAGAACTTTAACTTTGGAGAAACCTCTCTTTGGCTGCATACAGAACTTCTGCTGCATGAGCATTTGTCATGGGCCAGTATGCTAGAAGACAGATAATGAACCCTGAACCCAAGGAAATCTCTATAGAGTGTGCAACACAGGAAGTGTGCAATAGACAGAGGACTGGAGTGATGTGATAGTACAATGGCGACATGGTAGAGCAAGCACAAACTGCTGTATAAATATGGAGCTGGGACCCTCAGACTTGTCAGAGCTGCCAGGAAGTTTGTCTTCAACAAGAGAAAATGGAGAAGCAACAAACTCGCCATCCTGGTCGCTTCTGACAGGAGCTGATCGGGGGTCACAGCTGTAGCTTGTGGGTATCTGATGAAAGCTGTCCTACCTGTTGGGTGGTCCAGATTTGGGCACTGTCTGTGCTGTGTCCACTGGTGCTCGCTGCCAGGGAAGAGTACAAAGGATAGGATCAGCCCTTCCATAATCTCTGTACTGGGAATTCAGGTTTTTCCTCTCTGATGATGTCAAGATTTAACCTGTTTGAAGAGCGTTATGATTTTTTCCCAGTTTCTCCTTGTTCTTGTCAAGAGCTGTGTTGCTTGAAACCAAATCTTGATAGGCTCTTTCATCTTTATCGCTCACGATGAGAAGTAAATATGATTTAATTGAACCTCAGTGAGCGGCCCAGCCTCAGTTCAGCAAATGAAATGTGCAAGCAAAGGAGCAGTCCACTCTTAAGGTGGTGCCCAGAGTTTCACAAAACTGAGCTTTGGGGTCTGATGCAAAGCTATCATCTCTGACCCCTTGAATGATCTGAATTCTTGACCTGTTTGAACACAGAAGCTAATTCAGTTCTGAGGGTACATGGAACTGAGTTAAGGACCCAAGTGGGTGTCTTGGGAAACCCTGAGGAAGCCAAAATAGTACCCACACTTCTCTTTCATGGCAGGTTATGTGAGTACACAAGAATTAGAGGCCGTGGGCCTCCCTGGTGGTGCAAGGTGTTAAGATGGAACCTATGAAGCTATCAGCAGTCACTGCAGTATGAGTTCGATCCCCCGCCAAGGAGCTACCCACATGGCACAGCAGACCTCTCCTGTCTCGCCTTCTGCTACCCTCAGCAGTATACTTTGGTCAATCTGCCTGTTCTGTTCCCCACTCTGTCTCTGGTAAATCCTCTCACCTCCCCGCCACGCCTCTTGCCTGTACCCCAGTTCTTATATGCATAAATAAATAAATCTTTAAAAAATGGAATTAGAGGCCATGCTACATGTGCTATTGAGGCTTCATAGTTTACAGAATAGAAGGACAGGTTGTCTAGTTTCAGACTAGCTGGCAGACCCACTGAATATTAACAAAGAAAGCTTTAGGATAAGGAATGAAGTAGAGATCCTGCTTTCGTGAAACACACCCCAACTCAGGTACCTTCTCTCCTGCAATTTTCCAAAGCTGTTTTTGGTAATCTTGCTCTTTGTATTATCTTTATTTGTATAATTTTGATGATGCCTGGCGTGGGCCATCTGTTTGGAAAATGATGTTATTTTCTTATTTCTGTGGGCTCCTATTAAGTGTTAAATTGCTTATGCTAATCTTCAGAGTGTCCAAAGCAGTCATCTCTCTCTCTGTGCAACTTGCAGAAGTGGATATGGACTTCCATAATTTAACTGGTGAAGAGAAAGTCCTCCAATTAGTATTTAATAGAATACTATTAGATTTATTAGAATAGATACATCGACCCCCAGGCGATGTACATGAAGATCATGTAGAATGGGTTTCTGCCCTCTGGGAGAACTTAGGAACAGGATAGAAACATTACACCAATTCATAAATTAGTAAAGACTTTACATCATCCATCTATCTGTTTGCTAAGGCTTTTAGGGGTAGAAGCAATGAAGAACGTCCTTGAGGTTGGAGTTGAGAGAGCCTTGGGGAGGGATTTGTTTGGGCTGCAGAGAGGGAAAAGCAGCTGGGCCTCCTCCCTGCTTCTGGTGTTTGACAGGGGGTCTGTCTCCCTGGCCAGCAGGTGAACAACACTGTAAGTTGGTTGCAGGGGCTTGACCTGAACAGAAGAAGGCTGTTCTTGTCCCTCGAAGATGTCTACAAGACCATGTTAAAATTCCGATGCTCTAGAAACATTTGCCTGACCAACCATTATACATTTCACAAGATTGGTCCTGTGACAGAGGTGTTGAGGAACGTTCCTGAGCACTCACCTCTTCCCAGGTTTCTTCTTGATTGCCCCTAATGCCAGATTGCAGTGGACTTGGTACAGTCTGGTGCATATATCACTAAGAGCTTGTGGCCAGCAGGAGGCTATTCCAGCTAATCTTGGGAATTTTATAATACCCAGCTCCTCTCTCAGTTGTACCTTCAAGGTAGCACAAGGATTCCAGAACTGTCCATGTAGGGGAAGCTACTCTCCAGCCAGGATATTTCTGCCTGTCCCAATTGTAGAACTAATGCCCTACAGTCAGAGCTGGTCTTAGACTGAGAACAGGCCAGAACCATGGCTGGCTCAGCGTAGTGAGGCAGAACAGAGATGACAAAGCTAAACGTCGCAGACTTCTAGGCCAGGAGGCCTTGGTCTGCCACATACTTGGGGCCTGTGGAAACATGGGCCCAAAGTGAAATGTGGAGGCGAAAAGTCTTGTGAGCTTCTGCATGTTACATGGGCCCAGGCTGGCTTTCATGCTTTAGTTATCTGACTGTATAAGTCAAACTTTCATGTGTCAAGAAAGCCTCAGACCTAGCTCTAACATGTTTCTCTGATTTCAGCTCTTAACTTATAAACACTAAGCCTGCAAGTAGAGGTAGCTATTATGTAGTTGCCTGTTTGGAGATTACCCAAGGAATTCCTCCTAGGACTCAATTGCTCCTACCGTTAATGCCTGAAGCATGAAAACCACTGATGGCCTTGGGTCAGGGTCTCCCAGGTCAAAGAGCAGAAGCTGCTTGCTTGCTGCTCTTATTGAACAACAGTGTACAAAGAGTTGAGCTTTTCTGGGATTTCCCTAAACTTACAAGCTGCAAGATTGTCTAATAGATGTACAACTTGATTAAATGCCAGTGCATCACAGATCCAATTATATTTAAGAACATGCTACTTCTTCTAATCTTTCTGCCATCACTGATTAATTAGACACTTTGAACTATGCCCAACTGTTTGAAAGCTGTGAAAAATACAACATGCATAGTTAAAATTTCTAAAGCAGCCTCTTTCCTGATTCATGTCTGTATTCTTTCTTTCAAACCTTCTTAATGCCCTACAGTCAGAGCTGGTTTTAGACTGAGAACAGGCCAGAAGCATGGCCAGCTTGGTGTCGTGAGGATATTTAAACATAATAAGAATTTATACATGTCTCCAAACATAGAATCGTGCTATTTTTTTAATCATGATTTGAAATAACTCCATGGTTGGCCAAGATATTCTCTCACACGGCAAATCAAAGTATATGAGTGACCAAATGACTCTTTTAAACTTACCTTCAGATCTTTGCTGCCATTCATCCCACTTTCAAGTATTGTTGTTTTCTTTTTAAATCTTGCATGAATGCCTCAGAAAGGTTTGTTTCTGTCATTGTTTTGAGTGGTACCTCTTTATTGAGGTTTTAGAATATTTTTGTGCTTACCAGGAGCAGGGTGGGGATAGTGTGACTGGTACAGTTATAGAAACTGTCTCATTTTATGACATATAATTACTCGCTAATAATGTAAAATGTTTTGCAAACCATTTCCCATGTATTCTGCTATTGAACTGGCTTTTAAAATAAATGAGCACTGAAAGGCCTATTCTCAAAATCAAGAAGCCCCGTTGGGGAGTCTCTGAAATTGACCCTTGGTATCTCACCTGGGGTGTGCACTAGATTTGTAGGATGAGCCCCTTTGGACATGCTAAAGATCAGTCTGCGTATTTATGTTTCTCTATCCCTGGGTTTAAACTTTTTTTGGTGCCATGATTATTTTTAAGCCTTGAGCGCTGAAGAATGCTGAGCTAAAGCTCCATGGGGTCCCTAGGATGGAGGACCCCATGTGTTGGGCATCATCTTTCCTGCCTTCAACCTGGATGTCCCCAAAGGGGGGCGAGTAAAAGTTCTCCCCACTTTTGAGGAAATATTTGCATTGGACCTTAACTTTATTATATACATGTATTCCTTCCCACTCCCTAGTCTCCTTCCTGAATTCCAAACCAGATTTTGTCCTTTTCCAGAAAAGCCAGGCTAAATCAAGAACTCTACCACTAGATCTCTCCTCTTTATTGAGAATGAGGAAACTATCCACCTTTCTCTAAGCCAGAGTGTTTTTGATGAATGTCTAGAAAGTGGCCCACGGTTAAAAGGCTTTAGGTAATTGTGCAATCCTGATTTTTATTGACTTCTTCCCTCACCCTCCTAGGTAACAGCTTGCCTGATTGCAGTGGCTAAGACAGACCCTGAAGTTCAAGTGCGCAGAGCTGCCATCCATGTAATTGTGCTGCTGTTTCGGGGACTCAGCCAAAAAGCTACTGAGGTAAGCCAGTGTCTTACTGTCTGCACTTCCCTGCCTCATTTTTTTTTTTTTTTTTTTTTTGCCTGTTTATTGGCCTTCCTTTCACCAGACCTTTTCCCTAGGTGAACTCATGCAAATGCATTGGTCAGCAGGGATGTTTTAGCAGGAAAGTGGTGGTGTTTGCATCTTCAAAAAGTCTCTGTGTCCCCCTATAACATATTAGACAAACTACACCACAACCACTGCAGAAAAACCAGGGCAAATGTTTATAGATGGAGACTGTGAGTCCTGGCATTATCCTCATAGGGACAGGTTCCAAGGTGAGCTAGCTGAAACGCAGCAAACCTGCCTCTGTAGCCTGGGCTTTAGTGACTTGTCTTCCTGACTCATTTTATTGTTCATACTGAATTACTAAAAGGCCTCATTTTCATGTGTTTTCCTTTCTGTTGTAGCTATGAGTTCAATCCATGAAATTTTATTTGCTGCATGAATTAAGCTTGCTTCCTCCACCAGGGGGTTTTGATTGAATATCTCTCCTGTGTCTGGCCAGTACTGGAAGAATGTGTGTGTGTATGTGTGTGTGCACAGGTGCACATGTGCTTGTGCATGTGAACATGTGTGTATTCATATGTGTGCAAGAATTAATAACCTCTAAATTAATTTTCTTCCTAATCTTATTGGAAACTCATTCCCAGTTGACTCTACAGAGAGAGTTTGCATTAATAATTCACTTCCTGGCTTGTCTGCGGTTGTCACATCAGTGTTTAACTAAGTGTCAGTGAAGACATTAGGAGAGTGTTTGCTCAGACACACAGGCTTTGTTCATGGTAGGATTTTGCCATTTCAAGTTCCTGATGCTACTTTTTACAAGTGTGACTCAGTAGTCACCCCCTTGTTTTTATCTGGGACCTTGATGGGTATGGGGTACAACAGATCATTACAGGACAATTCAGATAAATAAATTGCTCTAAAGTAAACACTGAACTTGTTGAACATCTGCTATCGAAAATGGAGTTCAGAAAGAGTCAGTATCTTTCAACTGTTGTCAAGATCTATAAAATTCTTCCCAAATAGGCATTTGTTGTGTAGTGGTAGCAATAGGGGAAGCCAGGGGAGGGGTTATAGAGGAGTCCTCTGTGCTGTCTTTGCAATTTATCTGTAAACCAAAAATTATATCAGAGTAAAAATTTATTTTAAAACGAGTCACAACACTATTAAAAGAAATCTACAAAACTCTATTAGTTTACACGCCCTTACAGACAGAGGGAGAAAAAGAGAGAAGCAGAGCAAAGTGTCTGGTTATAAAGTGAGAGAAGAGATGGAAATTCTATCCAGATTTCTCACTTCCATGTATAGCCAAGGAAAACAACACTACTTGTCTCACCAGCACTAAAATAAATGGCCATGGAAGATTTTTGTCACTTTCAAAAAGCCATCCATGTAAATGAAAACCTCTCTCCTGTCCTCCACGCCATCTCTAGTCTACCCTCACTGAAATTTATAAATTATGCTTACTCAGTGAATAAAGAAAAGGAAATAGGATGGGATGAATTATGATTCCGCTTCCCGGTGCATCCTTGAGAACAGGTGTGTTAAAGCTTGTAATCGTAGGTGTGATTATAATCAGGGGCACTTTAATGAGAAGCGGAGACAAACACAAAGCTTTCAATCTGGGATTTCTTTCTCCCACTCTGTTTTGCCCCCAGGAACAGCTGAAATGAAAATGCCACTTTGTTGATGAAGTTTTTAGCTTTTTCCCCCTTCTAATCACTATTTCTCAAGCTATAGAGTGCCAAAAGGTAATACCAGGTTTCAGTGAATTCCCTGTTGCTGGTGGAGGACCTGTGTGGTTATACACCTTGAAAGGAGGTGGAGAGACCAGTGAAAGGTAGAGGTGCAGGAGATCAGGAGATAGCTTGGGATCAGAGGGCACAGACGTTGCTACTCCCAACTCATGAGGTAGTTTGCACCCCTCTCCCTCAGGTGATACGGCCAGCATCTGTGCAGTCAGCGCCGTCTCCACATTAGAAGGAAGTACTGCATTCATTTTCTTATTGAGAAACTTTCTCTGCTTAGCCTTGTTTTCACCTTATGACCAGATGCTTGTTAATTCATTCCCAAGTATAGCCTAAAGCCTAGTAGAAGCCAGAAAGAACTACATTTTAAGCCCATTTTCCTTCATCATTGCTGAAAATTAAATTTATTAGGAATACCCAAGAGAGGCAGCATTTAAACCTGTACCTCTGTTGGCCTGAGTTAAGAACAACCCTCCTCAACAAGGAGATGAACTGAGTGACAGAATGAAGAAGATGGTGCCTAACTATATCAGCTCTTTCTGAGCCAGTCTTTCCAAGGTGACTTACACTAAGAGGTGTAAATATTTAGACTATTCATCAATTCATTCTAAAAACAATAGTGAATAATTGGGGCAGCAGTAGCTGAACATTATGCTAGATTGGCCTTCCTTCAAATAACAGCTATAAACTCTGGATATAATATAATGAGCAGCTACTGAAGACAGTGAAGAGTAGTCAGAAGCAGGCAGATTCTTATGGTGAGTCCATGCTCAGAGGAGAGGCGCTATATATGGTGAATTCCCATTTTCTTGGCTTTTAGCCTAGGACCAGCATGTTTGGCGAGGCATGCAATGCATTCGAGGCACTAGTGAAGGAATCTCTGTCTTTCTGCTTTGGGGAGCCAGAGATTGGATCTTGGGAAACTATAGATGCAGGAGGAACTCTGAAAAGGAAAGAACTATTAGAGAGAAGAGTCCCAAATTCCTGCTGCCTGCCATCTCTGGCTGATCTTGAGCCTAGCAAGATAACTGCCTGCTCTAAGAAAAAAGAAAGAAAGAAAAGCACTCATCTAGAGAAACAGAATACAGAGTCTCCATAATTTAACATTCATAATGTGCAGCATGTAATACAAAATTACTCAATATATGAAAAGCCAGGAAAATGGAATATAGTCTCAGTAGAAAAGAAAATCAGCTGAGACCAATCCCAAGATATCCTCATTATTAGAATTATCAGGCATGTATTTTAAAGCACCTATTATAATTATCCTCAAGGAAGTAAAAGAAAAACATGCCTCCATTTAATTAAAAAAAATCTCAGCAAGGAAATAGAAATTATTTTTTTAAAGAGTCTAATAGAAGTTCTAGAACTAAAAAAATAAAATATCTGAGTTTTATTTCAAAGCTCATCAAATGGAATTAAATGCAGAGTGGAGATAAGCAAGGAAACAATAATGAATTTAAAGACAGAGCAATAGAAATGATCTGTGAAGATCAGAAACCTATCCCTGTATTTCTCCTGGATGCAGTAGTTCAGTATCCACTAATTCAGTGTTCATGGCAAATTTATAGAATATAACTATCATGACTAATAAGAATTAACTGTATACACAATGGGAAGAAAGAGTTGATGGCTTTAAAAAATGAGTGATTTTTTAAAGCAGAATGACCAATTTGGAGTTGACTCTAGTTCTAGATTGACTCAGTTGTTGAGTTAGGGAACTGCTGCAAGTCCTCTACATACTGATTTCCCAGATGAGGGTGAAGTACTTGAAAACTTTGCACATGGATTTGTAGTAACCAAGCATGGAAGCATTTTAATACTGAAACTTTATCCTTTGCTTTTTAATTTTAAAAGGTAATTTCCAAAGCATAGCTTTTAGTCCCTCTAATCCCTAATTTTAAAAGACAAATCATCATCATCCTCTACTGTATCTAGTGGGAGGTAAGTTGTAAGTAGGCTTTAAAATTTATTCTTTCAAGATAATAAACAAGCCTTGACATCAGGTTGTTTCTTAAGAAATTAGCTAGGAGTCTCCGTGTTGGCACAAGGGGTTAAGCACAGCACTATGAAGCAGTCTGAAGCCCCTGCAGCATGACTTCAATCCCCAGCCAGGGAGGTGACCCGCATGGTGCAGCAGACCTCTCCTGTCTCACACGCTGCTCCCTTCAGCAGTGTATTTCAGTTGATCTGCCTGTTCCGCTCCCCATTCTGTCTCTGGTGAATCCTCTCACTACCCACACCTCTGGCCTACACCCCAGCTCTTGCATGCATAAATAAATAAATCTTTAAAAAAAAATAAGAAATTAGCTAAACCTGGAAGCCTCTTGGGGGTGGGAAAGGGGGGAAAGTGTGGGATTGATTTTTCATTGATGGTTGAGTCAGCTTCTGAGCCAAACCCAGCCTCCTCCCAGGAATGACTTTTAATTCCTTCTTTTGAGGCCAGTGTTGTACTCGCATGACATTGTGAGTGGTGATCTCATCAGCATCAATGTGTCTGGAAGGTTACTCTCCTTGGTGAGAAAAGCGGCAAACCCTGGCTTAAAAAAAAAAATCAAAAACAATGAAATGAAATGGTTAGTGTATGATGTTATGCTTTTTTATTTATAGCTGTTCCACATGATCCTTCCAAAAGACTTAGTACATGTGTCCTAGATTCACCTTGTGTCTGTCTGTCCAGGCTACTGGAACTAGGACCTTTGGAGGATGTGCATTTAATCTCTGACACATCACAAATGGCAAGTTACAAACAAATGGACAGACTGAATGGAAACTTTCCTTCCTCTTACTGGTTTTGTCTTATCCCAAAAGTTATTTTGAGAACATCTGGCATGGTTTCTGTGCTGTGGGCACAGTAAACAGGCCCAGCTTCCTGCTCAGAGCTGGTTCACAGACACTGCTCCTTTGAACAGATTGAAGGCTCTGTGTGAGGGCGAATGAAAAGAACATTTATATAAGAATGACTGGGATCCAGGTAATAATTATCCCTGTAAATTTTTTTAAAAGATTTATTTATTTATGCATACAAGAGCTGGGGCATAGGCCAGAGGTGGGGCGGGAGGGGGGGGCGGGGGGGAGGCGCGATGGCGCTGGCGGGTGAGAGGATTCACCAGAGACAGAGTGGGAAACAGACAGCAGATTGACTGAAATACACTGCTGAGGGGAGCAGCAGGCAAGACAGGAGAGGTCTGCTGCGCCATGTGTGTAGCTCCCTGGCCAGGGATC